GCTATGTTCTCTACTGTTCGAGTTTCCAATGGAAGTCGAACATCGGTGCTTGGTATGTGCACTGCCCGCGTTACTGTTGCTGTCCACCACACTTCCGTTCTCTTCGCAGTCCTCGATGCTTGCCCACACGACGTCATCCTTGGAATTGACTTCTTCACCGCCCACTCCGCCCACATCAATTGTTCTACCGGTACCTTACGGCTCGAATTGCCTTTGTGCTCCGATTTCACTCCTTCAAGTCGCACTCGGCTACGATGCGTGGAGTCTCTATGGCTACCGCCCCAGGCTGCTATGTACATTCCTCTGTCGCCCTTCCCGTCCATTCCTGATGAAAACTATCTGGTAGCTCCCCTCATTGATTTGACCCTTACGCACCACATCGCACTACCACACACTATAGTGGTTGTTGCTAACAACACGGTGCTACTTCCAGTTCTGAACTTCTCTACGTTGACCCAAGTGCTTCCCCAAGGCATCACTTTAGCCGATCTTTCCACCCTTGATGAATGTTCGATTTGTTCTTTTACACATGACACTAAGACCATGGCGAAACCTGTCATCGCGTCGCAAAATAAGGCGTTCCTCGACAAAATGATATCCAGCGACCTCTTACCTTACCAAGTTGCGGCGCTCTGGGGTGTTCTATTTTCTTACCTGGATATCTTTGACGTCGACGACCGTCCCCTGGGCCGCACAAGTGCCGTAACCCACCGCATCGACACCGGCGACGCCGGTCCACTCTGCAAATACCCTTATCGCGTGTCACAAGCTGAGTGCCATGTAATACAGACGGAGGTCAAGAAAATGCTGAATAAAGACGTCATTGAGCCTTCATCGAGTCCTTGGGCCTCCCCTGTGGTCTTAGTTAAAAAGAAGGACAACACCTGGCGCTTTTGCGTCGACGATCGCCACCTGAATTGGATCACCAAGAAGGACGTTTATTCTTTACCCCGAATCGATGATGCGCTTGACTGCCTACACAGCGCCAACTATTTCTCGTCCCTTGACCTTCGATCCGGATACTGGCGAAATTCGGTCGACGACTGCGACCGCGAGAAGACAGCATTCATCACACCCTACGGCCTTTACCAATTCAAGGTCATGCCTTTTGGGTTGTGCAATGCCCCGGCTACTTTTGAACGTTTGATGGACTCTCTTCTTCACGGTTTCAAATGGTCGACCTGCCTTGGCTATCTGGATGATGTAATAGTTTTCTCGCCCTCCTTCGAAAACCACCTCTCTCGTCTCTCGGCAATTCTTGACGTTTTTCGTTGCGCTGGTCTCCAACTGAATTTGTCGAACTGCTCATTTGGACGTCGGCAGATTAAACTACTCGGCCACCTTGTTGACGCCACTGGTGTTCAACTCGACCCTGAAAAAGTTCGTGCAGTCCGAGGATTCTCTGTTCCGCGTTCCGCACAAGAAGTTCGCAGTTTTATTGGGCTCTGCTCATACTTCCGCCGCTTTGTCTTCAAATTCGCGGATATTGCTAGGCCCCTCATGGATCTCCTCAAAAAGAATGTGGCCTTTTCTTGGGGAAGGGACTAAGAGCATTCCTTCGCGTCGCTAATTACCGCCCTCACATCACCACCTGTGTTGGCTCATTTTGATCCAGCGGCTCGAACAGAGCTTCGCACTGATGCAAGCGGCCATGGCATTGGTGCTATACTCGCTCAGATACAGAATGGCACGAACCGTGTGATAGCCTAGGCTAGCCACCTTTTGTCGCAAGCGGAACAAAATTATTCCATCACTGAGCGGGAATGCTTAGCCCTCGTTTGGGCTATTGCGAAATTCCGTCCGTACTTATACGGACGACCGTTCGCAGTCATCACGGACCATCATGCGCTTTGCTGGCTGTTGACGCTTAAGGACCCTACAGGGAGACTCGGCCGATGGGCACTTCGATTACAGGAGTACACGTTCTCGGTTGTTTACAAATCTGGAAAGCTGCACAGTGATGCTGACTGCTTATCCCGGCATCCCACTGATCCACCTAGCTCCACTGATTTAGAATCCGATGTCTCCATTTTAGCCATCACTGACTTTCTGAACGTGGCTGATGAACAGCGCCGAGATCCATCGCTGCTCACCATCATTGACCGCCTTCAATCGCGTTATGCTGATCCGTCTCTTAGCAGATACCTGCTTCAAGACAACGTTTTGTACTGCCGCAACTTACACCCCGACGGCGCGGAACTTTTACTCGTCGTACCGCATCACCTGTGAAAGGATGTTCTGCGACAATTCCACGACGCTCCAACTTCTGGACATCTAGGAGTCTCCAGAACTTACGACCGCATTCGACGACGAGTATTCTGGAAGGGTCTGTACCGCTCTGTTCACCAATACGGCGCATCTTGTGACCTCTGCCAACGCCGAAAGAAGCCTACGACTCTACCTGCCGGTCTACTTCAAACTATTGAAGTTCCAGCCGAGCCATTTTATCGAGTGGGGTTGGACTTGCTAGGTCCCTTTTCTACTTCTATAGCTGAAAATAAATGGATTGCAGTGGCCACAGACTATTCCACTCGGTATGCAATCACTCGAGCGCTACCAACCAGCTGCGCAACCGACGTTGCCGACTTTCTGCTGTACGACATTATTCTCCAGCATGGCGCTCCGACTCACCTACTCACAGACCGTGGTCGCTACTTTCTATCTCATGTGGTTGATGATCTACTCCGATCTTTTTCTACCCGTCACAACTTCACCACATCTTACCACCCTCAGACTAACGGCCTTACGGAGCGCCTCAAGCGCACATTGACGGACATGCTTTCCATGTACGTATCTACCGACCACACTGATTGGAGCATAGCTCTTCCGTTCGTAATCATCGCCTATAACTCGTCCCGTCAAGAAACAGAGGGCTACTCCCCTTTTTATCTACTCTTCGGACGTCATCCCTTACTGCCCTTCGACACACTGCTTTCATCATACCACCCATCCTCCACCTCGTACGCTCAGGATGCAATCACCCATGCCCTCACGGCACACGCGGGAGCGCGTGCTCGGTTATCGTCGTCGCAGACAGCACAGAAGTCTCTTTATGACCGTCAACATAGAGATGAAGTTTTTTCTGCGGGATCTCTTGTTCTCCTGTGGCTCCCATCTCGACGTGTTGCCTCGGCGAGAAACTACTATCGCGATACGCTGGGCCCTACCGAGTCATTCGTCAGGTCACACCTGTGACCTACGAGATTGCCGCTACCACAAACTCATCAGCTGCTGCACCCAGAACGGAAGTAGTCCACGTTTCTCGTCTCAAGCCCTACAACGCTGACTCGCTCATATAACAGGCACCGAGATGGTGCCTTACGGGCCTGGGTGATGATACGTGTATGGAACTGTCGCCCCGACACAGCTGAATCGGCACCCAAATGAAGAAGACGACAACGTGGTTGTTGTGGGTTGGACTCTCGAGCTTCCCCGTTGGCCTGCATGGCTGTGCGCTCTTTAAGCCGTTAGCAAGACCAGCTCTCGATGAATAAATCTTCCCCGTAACAATATATTCAATCCATGGTTTTTGTTATGATGGATATATTTATGTAAAAAACAAGTCATAAAATACAACAAAAACCTCACTACTTTTATCGTCGGGCTCTTTGCGGCCACGTCCGCTATGAGGATGCGGCAGCACATGCAAAGCAATGGCTGCGTCTATTGTGTTGTTTACTTTCAGGTACACTTGCACATGTATAGGTGAGTTGTTGTCTAGTCAGTTAAAATGGCATAAGGCACAGTTGCTACTTCCACGAAGACAACAAGGCCTGAAGATGAGACATGGGCACAAAAATAACAAATATACGTTGTGCTGGAAGTCCGTCAATCAGCACTGCCATCACTTCCAAAGTACACTTCGCTTTCTGGTGTAAGAGCGAACCGCCAAAATGATACTTCGTGAGCCTGAGTACACTCGCTGAAAGTGCACTAAAGTTGCCATGTGTGACAGAGGTATTAGTTATAAAATCTGAAGCCGACTTTCTTATTATAAAAAGTGCTCTACTTACAATTACCTGCGAACCTAGACTGGTAGTTTTAATAAATGTGTGAAGTCCTGCAGCTATGTGAGAAATTTGGGCTAGTTGGTATCGAAAATAACTGGTCAAGGTACCAGGAAATAAACAGATGCGGACCAGAAGAGGAAACACAGGACTATGCTAGATGTCGAGTGGTGTAATTTACCGAAGTCCCGCTTCTCTTCTTCTCGTCACCGTTTTTTGTTTCAATAGCACTATGGTCAACTATTGTGGAATGTATTCACGCTGTATATTGACTAAACCCGTACACTGAGTTATTGTGCTAAAAATTATGCATAAACTCACTGTTGGAAACAGCACCGACGATGCCAAAAGCCAACGATGCATGATGAAGCAATATGAAAATGACCACTGATCATAACAAAGTAAATATTTTGCGCCACCTGCCATGGCAAACAGATCGCGGTGTTCATTTACTGTCGCGATAGACGCTGGCTCAACGCTGCTGCGGCGGCCGCATACCGATGAAGGTGGCATGCTAGAGGCTCGCATACGCGGAATAATATGCGCATTCAAGAAAACCAGGTGGTTAAAAGTTTCAGAGCGCTGGCTGCCACATAAAGATATAGTTACTTAGAACGTATAACCATAGCAGCTACCATTCATACTGAATTATTGGCAGCACAAACAAACGGGTCACAGGAAGAGGAAACAAATAAGCGCATTGTCTGTTTGTTTGTGTCTTCTTTCTGTGTCCCGTTAGTTCACACTGCCGATATTTCAGTATAAATCTACACTAAGCAGCCCACACATCTTCTGCCGTTGTTAATCATATGTCATTCCGTTGATATAATAAATAAGTCTGCCTGGATTAGTAAAAGCCTCTTTTCAGCCATGTAATACTTGTCGAATCCCACACACGACATGTTGGGCATTTGGGCAACGCACTACAGCAAAAATATGTGTGTTACGGAAGGTTTGGTGCAGATTTCTGATGTACGCAAATGTGCATCACAGCCAGAATCCAAGAGCCCGAGCCGTGACGTCATGCAAGCTTCCCACCAGCGGCGTCGCTACAACTTCTCGGACCTAACAGACACCAGCTCGATGCATTGTCAAGGCGTCGATTATTTCTCTTTCTTTGAGTTGTTACATCATGATAAAATCGTGGTGCAGACAAACTTTCGGATGGCATTGACAGCTGTTTCAAGGAGTAACAATGTTCCAGGGGTCACTGTTATGCTTTCAGTTGTAATGATGTTCGGATTATAACGTATTGAACCAAGGCGACCTCTTAGGGTCTCTCTGTGTTACTGAGATACAATTCACTAGGAATAAAAAGAACATGAGGTATCTTCATCTCTTCAGTGTTCACATCTTCATCTTATCAGTGTTCACTTTAAATAGGCTGACTCCTTCGCAGCTGTGCTCCCGGAAATGTTTGGTTTATTAAACGAAGTGGCATACCTATATGTCGCAACGCAAGTGCACTATAAGGTATTTACGCTTATCGTCACTTTAATATATTCAATATTTCAAAAACAATTTGGCATTCGTTGTAGTACACAATTTAGTCAATCCCACCTGACAGAAGTCTGTCTTCTTTACCCCACCGTGGTGGTCTAGTGGCTGAGGTACTCGGCTGCTGACCCGCAGGTTGCCGGATGGAATCCCGGCTGCGGTGGCTGCATTTCTAATGGAGACCGAAATGTTGTAGGCCCGTGTACTCAAATTTGGATGCACGTTAAAGAGCCCCAGGTGGTCTAAATTTCCGGTGCCCTTCACTACAACGTCTTCCATCATCATATGGTAGTTTTGGGGCGTTAAACCCCACGTATTTATCAATCAAGTAGTCTGTTCTCTGTAGATAGCTTCAATAATCAAGTCCAAATAGAATAAAAGTGACAATATGAAGAAGTTCTTTCTGTTTGAAGTTTTGCTTTCAGTGAAATATGCATTCTTCGTGTACATCAAGATAGAATGCGATCATGCAAACACCTCTAACAATAGAATGGGCAGCCATGACATGGTACTCTTACGTCTGTGCTCGGAACTCAATCCCGTGCCAGAGTGGCTGAATTTCCACGAGGTACGAGAGTGAAGCGTTCGAATCATGTGAATTAAGATAAGATAATTGGTTTCAGTGGTTTTGCATGCCAGGAGGACTGTAGGACTAGGAGGCACATGGAAATTAGGACCTCGTAAGACCATGCATGTGAGCTCATTCTAAGTACGGGAAACAACTACTTTCGCAGTTAGAAAACCCTAGAACGACGCTGTGGTCATTCTGTTTTCACGGTTATCGCGATGGTTTCTGTGCATGTTGAGGAACGCTGTATGGGCATTGGTAAAGGGTACCTAATCAAATGTGCCAAATTATCTGCCGAGTATGTCCAGCGCGTAGGACACCTTAACCTTATAGACATAACTAATTATTCAGAGCGTTACAACTGTTTGAAACAATGCGTTAAAAGTGATATTTCTGTTTTTGTGTGTCGCAGAATGCATCTTGTGGGTGAGTGACGCCTTCCGGCAGAACGTCCCAGAAAAATGCATTGAAGGATATAAGAGAACGTGCCCTACTGGCACCCTGCTTAACAACGATGCCTGTGGCAACACGCCTTAGAAGAAATATCTTTGTGTTATTAGGTGTGATATGTTGGTATTGACTGCGTGTTAATTAAATTACAGTTTATGCTATGTTTGTGTGGGTCTACTGGCCAGAGCAATTTTTGCAAGTGCGATTTCTGCTACGTGATTTCATAGTATCTCCACTCAGCTACAGTTTTTCAATTTTTTTCTCCCTTTTCTACCTTGTTTTATAGTATGATTTGTTTATATTTGCGTATCATCGTTATATATCTCTGATTAGAGGGACACTATGAAAGTACTAAGTAGCGGAGAAAACACCTTGACTCGTGCAAGCTGTAGTTAAACCACTTTAAATCGTTTGATTATACTGACGTGCTTTTTATTGCGCTGTAAACGTAAAAACCTCACTGACGTTTGCGTCGATTCCCAATGAAGAACTTCAGGGCAGCTCTAAATATGTCTCGCAAGCGCGATATATCAAGACAAATCACTCGGTAAAATATTTTATTTGTCAAGATTAGTTTATCATGCCAAAGACTTCGGTGCATATCGTCAACAGGCTCGCATAGGAAGAGATGAGGGTAATATGGTGTTGTTTGTTAAAATTATCACAATTCTCACGCCATTGCACGACCAGAAATACTGCATTCGGTTGCGGTGTGTGTACCACAAAGTCTTTAGAAAATAAAATTTTTCGAATGCAACGGCTCGATAACGGCTTCACGCGGTGTCCTACACGAGTTTTATTGCAGCATCAGAAAATATTGCAAGTAAGGGTCCATGAAAAGTGTATAAATGTGTATTCAACCTCTAAAGTTTTAGGCGTTCGCTCGGTTCCAAAAGTAGTTGGTATGAATTGTATGAACAGAGGATTCAGAAGATCAGCTCTCTAAAAGAAAAATAAATAGCATGTCCGAAAAATGTCGCTGCCTCGAAACCGTACCCCTTCATGCTGATCTTTCAGAGAGAGTGTCAGGAAGAACGAAAAGGAAATCGCCCTGCCGCGGTGGTCTAGTGGCTAAGGTACTCGGCTGCTCACCCGCAGGTCGCGGGTTCAAATCCCGGCTGCGGCAGCTGCATTTCCGATGGAGGCGGAAATGTTGTAGGCCCGTGTGCTCAGACTTGGGTGCACGTTAAATAACCCCAAGTGGTAGAAATTTCCGGTGCCGTCCACTACGGCGTCTCTCATAATCATATGGTGCTTTTAGGACGTTAAACTCCACATATATATCTATCTATGAAGGGCAAATCGAAGTCCAAGAAAATGCGAAGAGAAAGGTAACAAACATTGCATTCATGCCCGAACATGAAAGATCCTCTGTTAAGGTACTTATGTCGATTTTGAGCAGCACGCAACCATGAGTTGTAAGCAGTAACACGAACCTGCGCAATCCCAGTCGCCGGACATACATCAGTTGAAGACGCCCAAGTGACTTTATGGTATCTTTTATGCCTTCACAAGGACTCGTTATTTGTACAAGATGAAACAATAAAAGACAAAACAAACAAAAAATGACCGCGGTTTCTCGAGTGGGAACACGGGATAGCATGCGCAGCGTATATGTTGAACTGCGAAAAATGTGTTTTGTATTTTGCGACATGCATATGTGTTATGAGTAAACACGAGTGAACACGCACGGGCGCATGCTGAGAAAGATGATGTTTATTGATGAGACGCTTTGGGTATTTTGAGCAAGATGGCTTTATGGTTCGTAAAGTGAAGGGTGAGTAGGTTTGTTTGCAGCGGTCGAAGGTCGAAATTTCGAAAGACGTGGTCAATGGACGTCCCGCGAACCATGGTCGGATGACTTTTGCTGTAGTGCGTTGCTCTTTTCAGAGAGTTCCGCGACTCCATACAGACAATACAATCGTCCTTGATGACGGCGACGTTGAAATCGCCAACTATCATGAAGGGTCGTCATTGCGGTCGTTGTTTCAGTTATTCTTCAACGGCTTCGTCGACGTACTTCTCCTCGGCGGCAAGCGTTAGGTTGGGCGCGGGGTACATCGTCATGACGCCAACAGCGAGCGTCCGATGTCGCTTCGAAAAAATGTATACATTTTCCGAAGCGACATCGGACGTGGAGCGACCGCACAAATCAACCGACGAAGTGTGGCGCGCCCCGACACTCGGTTACTTATAGCGAGCGCCGGCCCAAGCCTGCTCATCTAAAGGTCGTGCGGTGCGCAAAGGGGAGAGGCGAGCGCAGCGCTCGCTGTCTTGAGAGGAGGAAGAGATGCGCAGATGGCTGGCGGATGAGGAGGGGAGGCTGCGGACGGCGACGGCGCTATACTAGCCCCTAGTATAACACGCTCCGTATGTAAAACGCTCGGTTTTTCTCAAGAGCCATCTTCTCGTAGTATTAGCCCCGCCGCGGTGATCTAGTGGGTAATGTACTCGGCTGCTGACCCGCAGGTTGTGGGTTCGAATCCCGGCTGTGGCGGCTGCAATTACGATGGAGGCGGAAATGTTGTAGGCCCGTGTGCTCAAATTTGGGTACACGTTAAAGAACCCGAGGTGGTCGAAATTTCCGCAGCCCTCCACTACGGCATCTCTCATAATCATATGGTGGTTTTCGGACGTTAATCTCACATATCAATCAATCAATCTGGTGTCATTAGCAACGTTTCGGGGTATGATGCGTCAGCATTCTCAGTACCCAATGCTTATTGTAGCGTTCAAGAACGAATACTTTTCAATAGTTGCGCACTCAGCAATCTCACTCCACGGCTGTGGTTCTGACAGGATGTTGTGGTCGAATCTAACGTGAGAAAGATCACGCTCAACAGTGTTGACTTTTTCAAGTTTTCTAAATATGAAACACGCCCCGTCGTGTTGGTCTAGTAGCTAAGGTACTCGGCTGCTGACCCGCCGGTCGCTGGATCAAATCTCAGCTGTGGTGGCTGCATTTTATATCAAGGCGAAAATTCTGTATGCCCGTGTGCTAAGATTTGGGTGCGCGTTCAAGAATCCAAGGTGGTCAAAACTTCCGGAGTTCTTCACAACGGCGTCTCTCATAATTATATGGTGGTTTTGGGATGTTAAATTTGATATATCAATCAAGTGTAAAGCACTTAAAAGGAACTCCAGTCAAGTTCAGAGCTTCTATCCATCTCTCTCTCTCTCTCTCTCTCTTTACACACAAATATATATATATATATATACCTCTTTACCTTTTACCTCTTTATCGGCGGGGCAAATTGTGAAGAAGAAAACGCATTGTTGTCAAGCAACATCGCCACCGCTTGGTACTGGGTGCTGGGCTTCTCTCGCTCGACTCGTGCTGATCATCGCCGGCATCTGTTTGACCGTTGCTCTTTCCCGATCGTGTTTTCATCGTAGGACCACCGTCGCAACGGTCGCCAATAAACCCCTTTTCAATTGGTGGAGGGTGCTGACATTCCCCGTCACCTGAACCTGGGTGCTGCCATTCGCCGTCGCCCAAACCTGGAGCTGCGCGACCAAACGCTACCTCCCATCATGGCCACCAACAACGCGCAACCTGGCTCTTCCTCTCCATCCCCCAGCAACCCCGGCGTTCTTCGTTTTCGAGACCAAGGTCTTTATCGGAGCTGATGAGACTGACGTGGAAGACTGGTTCGCTAACTACGAACTGGTGAGCGCAAACAACTAGTGGGATGACGCGGACAAATGGACAAATGTCATCTTTTACCTCACTGACGTGGCCGAAATGTGGTATAACGACCACGAAAACGACATTACGACGTGGTTCATCTTAAAAACGTCGTTTTCTGACGTTTTCGGCCG